CCCACACCCCAAACTCTAATATTCATTTACTCTCTCTCTCTCTCTCTCTCTCTCTCTCTCTTACGGAGCGTTGCCATCGGCAACAACCTGTGCGTCTATCGCCATCACCGTAGATCGAGCGGTGTGTCACCACTACAACAGCTTCATCTGTGCAGTGATTTGCATTTCGACATCGCTGCGATGCACCGCATGGTGGTTGCGCAAGTGGGGTGTGTTGCGTTAATGGGGTGTGTTGTGTTGTGGAGCTGTATTAGTGTGGTGGTGCATTGGTATAGGAGTGGGTTGTTGGTTTGTGTTGGACTAGGTGCGTCTGTGTTGGGCTATGTTTATGGGTGGTGGCGGTGTTATGGCGGCAGAGGATGGTGGTGGCGGTTGTTTACATGTTTTGGTGGTGGTTTTGTTAGTTGTGATGGTGGTGGATATAGCGATGGAGGTGGGTTTTGTTTTGGATCGACGGTGAAAGCGGTGGTGGCCGTGGTGGGGTGGTGCTCAACGACAGATTTAAGAAATTTTTTGATGGGGGTTGTGGAGGTGGTGGTGTGGGAATGGGAATGGGAGAGCGTTTGTGACTATTATTTGGTTGATGTTAATCAATAAATTGGTAATATGTGACCAATAAATTGGTTAATTTGTAATCAATAAATAATATGTGACTATAAAATGTGATCGTGACTAACAATTTATTAAGTTGTGACCAAGAAATTACTTGTGTCCAATTCATTTGATAATATGTGATCGTTAAATAACTTGTAATTTATAAAATTTGTGATTTTGTGATCAATAAATACATTGCGACCTATAAAAATTTTTATCTGTGATCGAGAATAATTTGTGACTTATAAATTTTTTGATATGTGATACGGTATAATTTATGACCTATAAAATTTTTGGTCTATAACTCAGAAATAATTTGTTCTATGACCAAGAAATAATTGGTTAATTCAATAATCGCGACCAAATTGTATAATATTGTGACATTAATATATTTAATTAATAAAACATATAATTAATTAATTATTTCATAAATAAAATGTAATTAATATCTTATTTTTGAAATTTAAACCTTATTTCTTAGTTTTGAAATAAATAATACTTAAATCTCTTATGATTTTTTTCCCTTTTTTCATATCCACTAATAATTAACATATTAAGGGCTTGACAATGATAGTTGCATATGACAACCCTGAACTTTGATATAGCGGTACATGCATAATGTGATTAGCACTTTAAAACTCAACATAGAACTTAAGCGACTCCGCTTAATAAAATTGACGTTTTAATATGAAATATCAAATTTTAATATGTTATCAAGCTCAACTAGTTGAAAAGCACATTCAGTCAAGCAAATAATTAATAATTAAGAAAAAAATTGATTACAGGTATAATGAATCTTATATTATACCAAATCAAGAAATTCAACTCTTCAATAATTCAAGCAAGATACGTAATCACACATGATTTGACCTTTTTTTTTTTTTTTGCTCTTTATTGAAGTATGAATTTGATCATTGAGTAAGTGCAAGTGTACAAGTAGTCTTTCATCCTGTACCCTTGGAAGCATAACCTGCGATTTGCTTCATTCACCAAGGCTCAAGGCATGTGGGGGTCGTCAAGGATGCAACTCATCCTTTTTTAAAATGTTTAGTTGTGTTTCAGCTCAGAGTTCTTATCATCTGGGTCATGTGGATATGCAATATTCTCTATATCATGCATGGTCGATAAAGGAAAACGAGTGAATATTGAATTTTGTACGAACGAGTGACAAATTTTATAAATGCCTATCTTAATAATGCCAATATATATGTCTCGTCCAACACATTAAATATTTTATCTAAAATATAATGATATTTCATGCAAGAATTATAGTTTTTCCTATATTATAGAAAGTTTTAGTCGGAAAATTTAACTAGAAGAACAGTCCGAGTACAGATTATAGTTAATACTTCTGTTGAGACGAGTGTTCTCCTATTCCGACTTCCCCAGAGCTTGCAGTAGCACAGCCGAGAGAGCGATATGGACTCTAACTAGATTATAGTTACTGAACAGTATTAAATAACAAGAATTTAAAACTTTCAATTTAATACTACTCACTAAACATGAAGCTAAACTACTTTCAATCTATAGAAAGAGGAGGAAGAAAAAAAATTGACTGCAGCCCTTAATTTGTGGATACGAGGTCTGGCCATGAAGCACTTTGGTTCACCATGAACACACCATTTTCCAGTGATGTTGCAAATCACTGAAGCCTTATGAATGTAAGAAGTAATTTTAAAAAGTCGATACTTAAATAACAGCAATAACTCCACCTCTACATAATCAGCATATCCTTTTATCATAAAATTTCTCAAATTTAAAACTAAATTTCACAGATTTAAGTATAGTCATTGGAGCCTTTGNCATCAGAGTCAACATCAACGATAACCGAATCACCTTCCTTGATTTCACGTGCAAGCATCTTCTCAGCCATGCTGTCCTCCAAAAGTCTCATAATAGCTCGTCTAAGTGGTCTTGCTCCATAGCTTGGGTTGTATCCTTCCTCGACGACCCTATCCCTAAATCTCTCGGTTACCTGAAGTTCAATATCTTTGCTTTTGAGTCTCTCAAATACCTCCTTTAACATTATATCAGCAATCTCCTTCACTTCCAGCTTGGTGAGCTGCCTGAATACAATCATCTCATCCAATCTATTTAAAAACTCTGGCCTGAAATATTGTTTCAGCTCCTCTGTCACCAGGCTCTTGATACGGTTGTAACTGCTATCCTTCTCATCATAATCTAGATCAAAACCAATACGACGACCCCCCTTCTCGATTACACTACTTCCAACATTTGATGTCATGATTAAAAGGGTGTTCTTAAAGTCTACTGTTCTACCTTTGCTGTCAGTTAACCTTCCATCTTCAAGAATTTGAAGCATCATATTGAACACGTCTGGATGAGCTTTTTCGATTTCATCAAATAGTACAACAGTATAAGGACGGCGTCGAACAGCCTCAGTTAGCTGTCCACCTTCAGTGTAACCAACGTAACCAGGTGGTGAGCCAATGAGTTTCGAAACGGTGTGTCTCTCCATGAACTCACTCATATCAAGTCGGATCATGGCTTCTTCAGAACCAAAGTAGTAGGCTGCCAGTGTTTTAGCCAGTTCCGACTTTCCAACACCAGTTGGCCCGGAAAAGATAAAGCTTGCAATAGGCCGGTTGGGGTTTTTAAGACCAACACGGGCACGACGAATGGCACGACTGATGGCTTTTACAGCTTCATCCTGGCCAATGACCCGTGTGTGGAGTTTCTCCTCCATCTTGAGAAGGCGATCAGATTCATCAGTAGACACTTTGTCAACAGGTATTCCCGTCCAAGAAGAAACAATGTGCTGAATGTCAACTTCTGTCACTACAGGACCTCCATCCCCTGCCTCACTCTCTGCCTTGGTCATTTCTTTGTTTTTTTCTATAAGAGCAGATATCTGTGCCTTAAGATCCATTTCCCTGTCACGTAGCTCCCCAGCCTGTACATTGAGTAAAGTATCATAAGCTTTCGTCTGAAAAAACTGGTGCTAGGAAATCCTGCTGAGCATACACTCAGCACCTAAACAGCTCATGAATTAGCATTATAACTGAAACCTGAAAGAAAACTCAGTATCCTATATCTTACTTTTATTGGGCGACAAAAGGGCATATATATATATTACAGGGTTATGCTACACCTTTTCAAAATCTTGACTTCTGACAGCTTCATTCTTCTCCTTAGTGATCTGCCTGAGTTCTTTTTCTACCTCCCTAGCTTCCTCAGGAAGCTGCAAAAGATACGAGCATCACTATAAATTGGTTCGGATAAGGAAAATAGCACTAAGAAAATCCATACCTGAGCGTGACGAAGTCGAACCCGGGAACCAGCTTCGTCAACCAAGTCAATGGCTTTATCCGGCAGAAAGCGGTCACTGAAATATACAAAGAGAATATTCAGAGACAAGCTGACGATTTACCAGCAATGCCCGACTAAGATGGGGTACATATGTGACTATTGCTAGAATCAGAAAAGCTAACATGAAGATATAAGCATACATCTTGAAGATACTAAACTGGAATATTTCATCATTAGTCATGGTATATCCCTCGAGACAACTAACGAATGTTCGCATTTTTTTCAAATATTCATAATACACCTGTGACTGGATATGAAACAACGTAGTAAACTGATTTGGGGGGGGGTGTAGAAGCACTGTTGTTCGGACTTTTCGAATCCTTCCATCCCATTCAACATCATAATAAGTCTACACACTGTTTATGGCAACTGGTAAACACTACATTACAGATGGCAATATACCTTCTCTCCAAAAAAAGTACTACCTGATATACTGGTATGACAGCTGAGCTGCAGAAACTAAAGCTTCATCAGTGTAACGAAGCTTGTGATGGATTTCATATCGTTCGCGTAGCCCTTTTAAAATCTGTATGGTTTCATCCACAGTAGGTTCTGGGACCTTAACAGGCTGGAACCGTCTTTCTAATGCTGGATCCTTCTCAATGTGCTTTCTATATTCATCCAGTGTAGTAGCCCCAATACACTGATTGATGCAGATATCAGCACGATAAAAAACATCAAACAAATGTACAGACTAATAATAGATAGGAGTAGACATGCAGCAATCCCATTAAACTTGATAGTACGGGAAGTACACCAAAATTTTGAGTCAGTAAAAGAAATTTAATAGCGCCACTCAGCCACTAAGCCAAGGCTGAATGCACTCGAGCAACCCTTTGCAGAAAGTAGATACATAAAGAAAGATATTTTATGGAACTCTACACCAATTATGGAGGAAAAGGCATCGATTGGAGGTGAGGGAGGGGTACAGGTGAAGGGCAGGGGGAGCTGCAGGGGTGGGCGATGCAGAATAAATTTAATAAAAGAAGAGAACAAGTCATCATTAGATTTTAAGCAAGTTTTTGTCGAGCTTTACTTATATTTGAAAAGTCAAGAAATGCTGTTTGTTTTCCAAGATTAAAATTAATATGCATTTAGTCTAGTCTAGGAATTCCAAGTGCCATTTCAATAATATAGCAATCGTTCAGATTAACAGAGTCTCAGAAGCTGTGAAGAGGAAAAGAAATTTGTTCCAAGAAAATTATCAGATTTTATTACATCTACTGCTTCCGACTGCAAAGTTTTCTTCTTTCCTCAAGGAAATCTGGACTTTGACAATAATTGGAGTATCAAGTCTCGTCTACATCATGGGGGACAGCAGGGAAGTTGTGAAGCATATCAGGGAAGAGATGGGCTTATTCGAGGGTGGAAGAGAAGCAAGCAAGGCTGGAAGCTGGGGTGGTGGGAGGGACGGCAGGAGTGGGAGGGTCAAAGGATTCTTAATCATTCAATTGGAGAATCCTTGCTTACTTTTTATTTTTTTGTATATATTTTTTTGCATTTTTGAACTTGAGGGCAAACTTGTCTTTTCAACAATTTTAACAGGTCTTTTGGACGGAAACCGTGAAGGAGGAAAAAATTGCTACTAACAAAGAAGGCTGGAGAGTTAAATGCCAAGAAAAAGAAGTTGAGAATATAAGTAGAAAAAGTGACCAAACATTCGGGACAATATGTGCAACTTACCCAAATCTCAAACATCACTAACATAATTCAGTGACAAGTGTACACAATTGAGCATCTGCTCTAAAATAAGTCATCCATGGAATGGTAGGGAAGTCTGAATTTTCAAGGAAGGATAAAGTACCGTGCAACTACGATTTAGACCTTCAAGATCAAAGTAAAAATAATGGATGAATCAAATCGCAAAATCACAATCGAACTCAACACTAATGGTTTTTTCCAAACCATAACACATTTATAACATTGAGGTGGGAAGGGCAATGAAGTGTGGCAAAGGAAGATGAGATTTTCAAAAAATAATTAAACTAAAGAAATTGTGGTCTCATTTTCAAAATGTCCACAGGGCAGAGTAATTCACATTTTTAAGAATGTGATGAATGATGAACAAAACCAAATGCATCTGTACGCTATATATGGATGAGTTGATGGTTAAATTTGGAATCTGCCAACCTGTAATTCACCCCGAGCGAGTGCAGGTTTCAAGATGTTTGCAGCATCAATCGCCCCCTCTGCTGCTCCTGCTCCAATCAATGTGTGCACTTCATCGATAAAAAGTATAATTTCATCGCTCTGTTTAATTTCCTCCATCAGTTTCTTCAGCCTTTCCTCAAATTCACCACGATACTTTGTCCCAGCAACAAGAAGACCCATATCAAGGGTTATAACCTGTAAGGATCCATATGTAACTTTTATTACTGTCACATAAATACTATAGGTTTTCAGTATTTAATAAAAATGCATTAAATTAGTAACTAGCCATATTCCACTGGACATAAAACTATAGTCATGAAACATATATACTGAAAGCACAGAAGGCGAAGGGAGCGTGGTCAGTATCACGTAACCAAATTGGCAAACATACTCTAATACATTTTGTTCTGAATCCAGATAACACGAATAATTTATAAAATTTATACAAATCCTCATACAACTGAAAACACCAATGAAAGGACAAATTAGCAATAATGCATGTGTAGGGAATTGTTTTGATACTTCTTTTTGAAATTCTTCTTCAAAATTCTTAGTGGATCTCCAAGATCCACTACTACAAAGTGGGAAAAGAACCGAACTATTCAAATTCATTTACCAATTTGGAGCCCTTGAGAAAAGCCATCCAACTCATACTCTTACTCACGAGAATTTAGGTTGCATTTGGCGTACCGGATTAGATAGTATAAAATTAGAATCGATTATAATATACTGGATTAAGGTGGATAATATTCTTTGATTTTCATTCAAAAGAATATCATTTACATTATGTTATCTTATCCGGCCTAAACCCAACTCCACCATCCGCATTATGTTCTATGGTTAGCTGATATTTTTTAACTAAAAAATCAGAATATATTATCCACCATAATACCATCCACCCAGTACTATATATTCTAATTTCATACTAAATTCCTTATACAATCTTATCCAAAGTGCTAAACACAAGTTACACAACCTTAAGGTACTGGCTAACCAATCTGCCTATTTCTCTTCAAGCCTTCATGTAGTAGCTTACCTTTTTCCCCTCAATTGTCTCGGGAACATCCCCACTGGCAATTCTCTGAGCAAGGCCCTCCGCAATAGCTGTCTTCCCAACACCAGGTTCTCCAATAAGGCAGGGGTTATTTTTTGTACGCCGCCCCAGAATCTGAGTGACACGTTCAATTTGCTGCTGCCTTCCAACGACAGGGTCCAATTTACCCTAAAAAACCAAGATATCAAGCACCTGTTAGCTCTCTATGAAAAGTTAATACATGCAGACGTCGAGAAGAAAATCACCTCCTCGGCAAGCTTAGTTAAATTAGTGCCATACTCCTCCAGTGTAGGCATCTTGTTGCCTGAGCTCCCACCTCCAACACCAGCACCAACAGCTTCTGCACTCTCACCCACCATTCTAATAACCTAATCACCCAAAGGGATCAACATACAGTCAGTTTTTTAGGGAATCACAAAATTATTAGATATAAAGCAAATAGAAGCAACAATTCTTGCCTGTGTACGAATATTACTTGGGTCAGCACCTAAATTCTCAAGAACACGAGCTGCCACACCTTCACCCTCACGAAGCAATCCCAACAGCAAGTGCTCTGATCCAATGTAATTATGACCTACATCAAAAGGAATAAATTAACATCAAATTACAGATCAAAAGAATTGATACTCAAAACCACACAAATAATCGTCTGTCCTGAGGCTAAATTAAAGCCAACATATAAATAGAATATTTATTTATATGCTACCCCAAGTAGAGTGAAATAAGATTGGAACAGCAAAATTTTGTATTAGAAGTCGATGAAGTAAGAACCTAACATGTGTAACAGGAACAGTTGCCTCGGGGCAACAACACTCTCAAGAAACTAGCACACACTAAAAGAAAAAATAAAAAGGATACCTAGCTGGCGAGCTTCCTCTAGAGAGAGCTCTAAAACACGCTTTGCACGAGGAGTAAAAGGTATCTCCACAGCAACGAATCCACTCCCCCTTCCAATTATTTTCTCCACCTCCACACGGGCATCTTTCAAATTAATTCCCATGGATTTGAGAACCTTAGCAGCAATGCCAGTGCCCTCACCAATAAGTCCCAACAGAATCTGCTCAGTTCCAACAAAATTATGACCAAGCCGTCTTGCCTCCTCTTGTGCAAGCATAATAACTTTTATTGCCTTCTCTGTAAAGCGCTCAAACATGGCTCGTGGTGCAATTCGGCATTTTCTTTGTCGTGCGGCAGAAGTGACACCAGCTACCTTCGATTGGAGTGTCTGGCCAGTTTGCTTCAGCATCATATCCAAGGCATTAGATCCTCGCAATCCTGAGAAATTCCTGATGCTTAGAGGCATTGTTTGTAAACTACACAGCATTGTAACCATTCTATTTGTGCTCCTAGATCCCTTGAACTGTCCATTCCTTTCACCGGCAACTATATTAAGGTTGTTAGTTGACTGAAGTAAAGCCCTCGCCATGATTGTGTTAAGCGGATCTGCATATATGAAATGACAATTAGCCAGCTAAGATTGAAATCAAAAGACCATTATATAATTGTGAGCACTAAATAATTCTACTTGAAGCTCCAAAATATGTTATGGCAACATATAATAGCAAGCATAATCTGATAAAATTTCTTCTTGTGTGAGGAGCTTGAACAGAAGCACATCAATGTTACAAGGAGTACACCATAACAAGAAAATGAATCCCATCTTCAACGAATATGCATTGTTCACTCTATAACCTAGAAACATCTTATAATTATAATGTTTTGTTTTCTAGAAGAAACAAAAAGGGTCAATTAATAGGTGTTTGGACATGAGAGGATCCATATACATCCACAACTACCTGATTACCCAGATTTCCAGTTTTGGAGGCAAAGACCACGTTAAGATACTCCAGGAGAACACAAGATAGTCACCTCAACACATGTAAAGTTAATGCAACTGAAGGCTAAAATAAAGCAGAAAGGCCTCTGAAATTTTATACAGAGATCTGAATATACATAAAACAACAATTTCTTAAAACATAAATCTAACAAATCATCTTAAATCATGGGAGTTGGCTCAAAGGATTGCACACTCACTGCTAAGTCGATGCAATTATGAATTATTCAACTTGTAATTCCATAATCTCAAACCAAGGAATAAAATTCTTTAGGTGAGGGGAACAATCAGAAATAAAAGACTGAATGAAAACATAACTCTTCGAGTATGGAACGAGTAAATTAGAACCTCAAAAAAGGGTACGATACAGATGGGCTTCTAGAGACTACAATACTACACAACAAGACAATTGTTTCTTTTAGTTCTTTTTCTTGAAGTAGCCAAATTCAGGCACAGCTGAGATGCATAGAATTGAACTATATGAACTCTAGTTAGTCAAAGTCATGGTAGCATATACGCAAAGCAGTTTAATAAGTCCGGAAACAAACACAAAAAAAAATGAATAAATAAAATAAAAATACAGTGGATTTCAGAGAACACTTTAGCTCATATTATTATCATAGAATTCATCATTTAACAGGCAAATAAAAATATGACATTTACCACCCAAAGAAAACAAGAAAAGAATACATTTGGGGATACAGGAAAACAAATCAAATGAAAGAAGATTTAAGCTAATAACAAATCATACAAGCTGGAGGGATGATAAATGCACATAAAAAACAAAAAAAACAAATATTAGCTCTTTCAATTAGTATTAACTCACACGATCTAAAATCAACCACAGAAAATTAACAGATAGTAGCTGACATTTCATTTCATCACCAATATTAATAACATATTTTTAACAAATTAATTCAGAAAGAAAAATTAACTCAACATCACAAACTTCAATCAGTGAAGCTAAAGATCAGATTCTTAAAACAAAAACCACCCAGTTACGAGAACAAAATAGAAAAAACCTTCAATTAGCCTCAAATGAACCCAGAAATCAAAGATATCAACAGAAACTTAATATCAATACACAAAATATAAATTAGGTCAACAAGGTAACAAAAACTTTACCTGAATGAAATAGATTAACAAGAAGAGGAATGCGACAATTGATAAGGTATCTGAATGTGGAAGAGAAAGAGGCCGTAAAATGGACGGCCGGATTTCAGGGGGGGGAGAGAGTGGCGTAGAAGATATAGATATAGATGTGGATGAAAATGGACTGGTTTGCTGCTTTTCGTTCTGCTAATTGTCCCAAAACCATCATTATTCTTCGTCTTTACTGTACAAATTATTTCGTCATCTCTATTTTGATATTTAGCCCTTATTTAGGTTCATTAATTACAAAAATATATTTTTTTCTCACTTATTTTTATTCACACATTTTTCAGTAAAAATAATAATATTACGCGCAAATTCAATTTTTTTCTTATTTCTTAACTGCATATTTTCTGTCAGAATACTATTCTAAAATGTATTTTGAACAAAAAAAAGGGACTCAAACTGACGCTTACGCTCCAGTATTTCTGTGCATAAAATATTTTTACCACACATTATAGAAGTCTTGTAAAATAACCAACCCATCTACCCCATTTTCCTTTTATAAAAACATTTTTAGTTATTTTAAGTGAGACTCATTTGAACATTTTTTTTTAAAAAAAAATTTAAAACTCTAATTACAATTATTTGTTCTTTCTTCCTTCCTTTCTTTTTGGTCAGGGTAATTTTATTCACCCCTCAATTTTTATTAATAGCACCACATTTTAATGTCCTCAATTTTTGCTTTTTGTAAAATCTTTATCCATACTTCTTTTTCGTCGAATTTGTATTTTTAACATTCTATTATAATTGATAAATCTTGTCTTTGATGATAATTTCAGTTAAATTTTTTCGTATGCTTTAAAATGAGAAAAAAATATTACACCTTTGAACGGACTTGTTTGGCAAAAACTAATATGAGATATGAGATGTGCTAATTAATAAAATGTTGAGGATAAAAATGTGTAAAAAAACAAAGTCGAGGACATAATGTGAAAGAGCTACCCTTCTGTTTATTAAAGATAAATTCGTCGTTTTACAATACTTCAATAAAAGAAATGGAAAGTAAAAATATTTCGTGCATTCCAAATGTCAAAATTGAAACATTAAAAATAATTTGCACAAACGGTTGAAACATTTTTCGTCAATTATCCTTTCCCTTCATACATACAAGGAAAAATTACAGATGATCTCTCAAAACTTCACGCGCTCTAGACCTCATTCAATTTTTTTCTGGTAGACAAATTCTCGGACATATTTATTGGGTTTTGATATCCAATAAATATCGAACGATGTTGTAAACGTCAGATTGAATTTCATAGGCATTGGCCGATGGGAAAAATTATTACCAACAATTATGGTGTGTTTGATGGATATTATTGAGGAAAGAATGCATTATAAATAGTGATATGATGGGAAATATGTAGTTAAAAAGTAAAGAAAAGTTATTGATGTGATGGAAAATATTATTTTATTAAAAAATGTGTGGTTAAAAATGAGTTTTGAAATAATGTATGTCAAACAAGGGCTTAAGTCCAAAAGCTTGGCCTAAAAACAATGTGAACCGTTTGAAGTAGTTTAAGGAATTAAGGGATAATTGGACTTAATACCATCCAAAATTAATCAATTAGAATAATACCCTAAAATTAATTAAAACTTTTTCTCTCGTAATTAATACGCTTTAATCACCTGCATATCCTAAATCATCTTCTCCAAAACTACGCCATCGCTGAAGAAAAGTAAAACCCTAATTGTGCACCCCAAAATCCTTGCTAGTGCCTACGCCTAAATTATCATCCCCAAGATGGCACCAAATTCTGCTCAATTTCAAGTTCAACAACATATTTTTTCTCGTTTTGATTTTATTTGTTTTATGTTTATTTGTTTCAATGCGATTAAATACAGTTTTTGCTTTCCTTATGAATGAGATTTTTTGTTAGTTTATTTAGTTATATTGGAAAATATTTAATAATTTTTGAAGTAAAATGATATTTTTTTGGGTCTTTGCGATTGAGAAAATGAACGTATAAATGAAAAATGGTCTGAAAAAGACAAGAAAAAGCTATTCTTATTGGGTTTTAGTGGTTGGTGTCCCTAGTGGTAGTTTGTTTTACAAATGAATTAATCTGATTGTGTTAATAATGGGTTTATATAATTATGATTTTCAATTTATTGTCGGTAATCTTTGATAGACACTTGATTCTTTATTTTAGTTGCAACTTACACATAGGTATGCTCTTAACATAGAATCATTGTTGTTCTTGTTGGCGATTATTGGGACGTATACTGAAAAGATAAAGTAATGTGCTTTGAAAAGATTGTTTGCAATGAAAATTCTTCAGAATCTTGTTCTCTATAATTGCCTTTTCGTTTTAGTGTTGTAAGGAAGAACCTACATACAAGAAAAGGTTGCAGGAAGAAAACATGTTTTGGGGTTGGTATTTGATGGGTTTTGTGAGATATGATTACATGTAATGAACATTTTACCAGCATTATGGATGTCGCCTCTCTTAGCAAATTAGTCCATAAATGTCATATATGAACTAAACATTGATTTGCCCCTTTTCTTCTTAGGAGCGTTTTGCAGTATGGAGTCGGCTTTTTCCACTTTTCCAACATCAATGTAAAGCTTCACAAGTGCATCCCAAGTCAAGAGTTTGATGACACAACCACTCTCAACCATTCCCTTTACGAGGTCCTTTCCTTTGATCCTTTGACCAACATTTTATGTTGTGCACAAACTTTTAGTAGAATCAGGGATCTTTTCATCTCATTGTATAATGTATTGCTTTAATGCTTGTACATATTTATATACTTGGTGTACACTTGCATGTATGGGATGTATAAAATGTTCATGTATGTGAATTCTTGATAGTAAAATCTTGGTATTTAGTTGAATATGGAATCTTTTTATTGGGGATGTAGTTCTACAATTCGACAATGACGTATCTCAATGGTTCATTGACCTAGGAAAATCAAGAAGTTTGATCCTAGAAAGAAATTTGTCACTTTCTAAAATTTTTATCACTTCCAACTTATTGGTAATTAAGTTTCTAAAAATGAAGTTATGTTCTATTTTTAGCCAGTAGAAGTGAATCATAATCACAAATAGACAACACGCAAAAGAAAATCAACCGTCCCTTGGTTCTCTTCTAAGGTTTTGACTAATGTTAATATTAGTTCACTTTTTGGGGGTATTTGTAGTTTCTTGAGTTTTCGTCACTTTTTTATTTTTTGTCACTATATTAAACTAATTCCAAGGTTTTGTTTGGTGTTTTTTCACTTTTTTTAGTGTGTGTCATTTTATTAGAATTTTGTTACTTTTTTTAAGTTTTTATCATTTATTTTTTAAAAATTTCCGTCATTTTATTTAATTGATTGCAAGGTGTTGATTGTTTTGTTACTTTTTTTATTCGTCATTTTTTAAATTTGAGTCACTTTATTAAACTAATTCCAAGGTTTTGATAGTGTTTTGCCACTTTTTAAGTGTTTCTCTTTTTTGAATTTATATCTTTTTTTTGAATTTCTGTCACTTTTTATAGTGTTTGTCATTTTTT